AAGAATATTTTAGAGCCTTCTTAAATTTAAAAAATTTCAAAAACCTAACAATATTTTCATTTCTCTTTATAAATACATGTTGCAAAATAAAGTCCTTCATCTGTTGTGAAATTCTCCAGCATTAACTGCCATTACAGGAGAACTGATATTACATCGCAGGTCATCAATTCTTTCATTATTTCCAAAAACATTTCCTGTTTCTTGATATTTTGCTTAGCTTCTGGAAGGCATGCACCTGACCTGGCATCACCTATCACCCATCTGGATATGAAGTAGGTGCCTTCTGAAAGCTAAGTAAAGTATTAAGAAACAGGAAAATGTGATGAGAAACAAAGAAAAGAGTACTGAAATGTTATGTTATACCAGTCCTTCTGTATGACAATGAATGCTGGACAATTTCCATACAAATGAAGAAGAGACTTGAAACAACAGAAATGTGGTTCTACAGAAGGATGCTGAGAATACTATGGACTAAATATGTGAGCAACAATGGATTTCTAGAGAAAATGCAAACAGAAAGAACACTTAAGTTTTGTTAAAGATGACTGACAGTGCATTGCTTTTTATTTAATTTTTCTTCTGTTCATACAAGTGTTTCCTTTTCTGAACACAGAGTGTGTAAAAACTGTCCAAACTTCATCTGCAACATACTCATAGAAAATACAAGTATAATAACCTCATCCACATGTAAAAAAAGACTAAAAATAATGGAAGCCCAAATAATAAAACAGAAAAATCCAACACTCAATAACATCAACTATAAACATGGCCACAATGTGTTGACAGTGTTTGGAAAATAAAACATTTCTATAACTTCACATACATATAAAAAAAAATGTCACACATTCAGTTAAAAATAAATAATAAAATCATACTTGATAATGATTAAAAGAAATCTTCAAGGAAATATTGGAATAACTTCCAATATTCGCTTGAAGATGAAACAGAACTAATGCTTTTAATTTAATTATATAATTAAATTTAAATTTTTTAGCTTCCATTTTTGAAATGTGGTTAGTAGTGTGTTGCGAAAAAAACATATTTTCAATGAGTTAATTTATAATATTTATGCTCTGTAAATTTACATTGAGCACTGTTTTGTAAAAATAAAAAAAAATATCAATAAGAACCGGATTATGTATCTTACTGTTTTTTTCTTTATATATATATATATATATATATATATATATACACACACACACACACACACACACTACAGTTCAAAAGATTATGGTCACACCTGGTAATTTTTTAAATGGACGCCAAAAATAGTTGTTTTGTACTTTAAATAAGAGAAAATTATTATACATGGTTAAAAAAAAAAGTGAAACATGATTTTTTATTAGAAACTATTATGACAAAAAGAAAACTAAAATTTTATGATTAAATTTCATTCTCGTCAAAATATCTTCTTTTAGCCTTGATTACTGCAGCACAAATTTTTGGCATTTGTTGCAAAATTTTCTCAATGTATAAGTTTGATAATTGGTTCAATTATTTTTTTAGTGACTCTAAGAGGTCTTTTTCATTTTTTTCCCTCTTCAGTCAATTTCATCGCATGCTAATTCTGGGGGTGACATGAAACTTTTGAACTGTAGTGTGTGTATATATATATATATATATATATATATATATATATAAAAGGAGGCACAGCTGAGTAATAGATAGCGGCTTGGATTGAGGAATCAGAGAGCTGAATTCAAATTCAGTCAAATCCATTACATTCACTTACGTGCTAATACCCTTGGCAAAGGTATGAATCCTCTTCTCCTTCTCCCAACTATGGGTAAATAGCAGGACAGACTGGGTTCTATAACTTTGGATGACAACTGGTGAACTCTGAATTCAAAACCTGCAGAGTGTCGTTTGGGGACTTTGTGGCACGTAGTGCACAGGGTCTCTGTATTCAGCCCTTCAAATCATGTGGTTGGTTCTGCACAAAGCCTATAATCAAATCATATGTGCAGGTTGTCTGGCTGTCAGTTCCTAGGGACTAATTTGCCTGACCCTCATTTATCGTAAAAGGGTCCCCAATAGGCATGGGTCAACAGTCTGCGTCGATTAACAATGGAAAAGTCCATGATTATATACATATATATATATATATATATATATATATATATATAAAAAGGTGTATTTTGGCAGCAGTAATTCTTTCAAACATGTTTTGGTAAATAATATCAACAATTTCTGCCTATCAAATATTTTATTAAATATTCTGACATTTCCAAATTAATTGTTTTATGTTATCTGTAAAGTTGCCAAAGTTCATATTTATTTTTATAAAGTACTTTTGAATGTTGCTACATTCATTCTCAAGGATTGTTCTGTGTATATTTATGCAACTTTTTCTTTAATTCTAGCATTATCACGTTTGATGAAAACAATTTCAAATCGCTGGAGGTGACATTATTTAAACAATCAAATTTAAACTTTTAAGTCTATTCTTTTTTAAAACACACTTCAATATATGGAGAAAGATGTAATAATTCACTACAACGAAAAGGCCTAGAGAGTGCCTTGATTGCAAGATCATCTGTAAATTTGCACCCAAGCTCTTATAATATTTTGCCATTCATAAACTTCTGTTATCACAGTGTGGGATATCTACTAGCAAAAGTGATGTAAATAAGAACAACAATTTAAATGAAATTGGCTAGATTAAAAAAAAAATTAAAAACATTTAAAATTCTCAGGATCCCTCATTTATGTGTATGGGTAGATGCACTAACATAACAAATTTAGTCTGATGAAGTCCTAAAAGATGAAACATGTCATGAGAAAACTTTTCCCACTTTGTCGTACATTTTCCCCAATAATGTTCTTGATATATCTAAGTATATATGTATGTGTGTGTGTGTGTGTATAATTGCTTATGTGCCTTTCATTGTATGTATATATTGTCGTTATTTTTTTTTTAAGGGCTGTGGACATATTTCCTGCCTAATTGCTTTTTTGCATGTTTATATATCTAAATATGTCTGCGTGTATAATCTGATTGTGTGTGTATTGTCTTTTGCAAGATTTCACCATCCCTAACCCATATCTTCCATTCAAATGTATCTAAGTTGTAACGGAGTTCAGAGCAGTATTAGATCTTAACATTTATTCCAACTTAATTTCAATAAAAACAAAAAAAATAAAAAAAACACATTTTTTTCCTCAGTTTCTTCTTTAATAATTTTATAATTTTAAACTTAATATAGATTAAATTTAAAATTAGTAATTTTTAATTTTATAGTATAATTTAATAATTTATTAGTTAGAATGAATTCTATTTTAGTCTAACCCTAACATTAAAGTATTAAATAATTATTATAATTTAAGTTTGTTGTCAAGTTTTTTGAATTCTTGTATACTTGTATTTTGATTGGTCATTCCAGCTTATGTAACAGCGTTTCCCCTAGTGAGGGATATTTCATTGATTTGAACCTTTTAAAACCCTTTATTCTATATTCAACACCATCACTTGATAAGACATCAGAAGTGTTGAAACAAAATGGCTATTTTTGTAGTGATTTTATAGCATATTTATGTTATAATTTTCGAATAAATGATTATATATATATATATATATATATATATATATATACATATTATTAAAAATGAGGAAGATTACTCAGTTACAAACCTGCTACCATGGTTTTAACCACTGATGTCTTGTCAGGTGGTAGATGCTAGATAATCTTCAAATGCTTGTTTTGCTTATGTGCCTGCAACAGGAAGTGTGACAGAAGGGGAGAGGGGGGTAAGGCAACAGTAGGGAAATAGGGTGGGAGGGGGTGTGAAAAAAATAATATCTTCTTTCATCCAGGCTGAATATATTACTTTTGCTAGTTTTATATTATATATATATATATATATCTCCAAGTATAGGATTGGTGTATATGGAATAAATTCCAATAACCAACAAATACTATTCTTAAAAGAGTGCTCAATACAGAGTAAAGCAAATATAATTATTTATACGAAAACTATAACATAAATATGTTATAAAATCACTACAAAAGTAGCCATTTTGTTTCAACACTTCTGGTGTCTTATCAAGTCATGGTGTTGAATGTATAATACATTCAACACCTGTCTATATTTCTGAGATGAGGTATTATGTACACTATTTACATTATTCGGACTATTGTCCTCATCTTTGTCACCATATTTATCACAACGTTTTGGTGGTTGTACACTCCGGCCTTCTTCAGGTTCGACATTCCAACTACCTGAAGAAGGCTGGAGAGTATAACAGCTGAAACGTTGTGATAAATATGGTGACAAAGATGAGGACAATAGTCCGAATAATGTAAATAGTGTACATTCAACACCATCACTTGATAAGACATCAGAAGAGTTGAAACAAAATGGCTATTTTTGAAGTGATTTTATAACATATATTTATATTTTTCGAATAAATAATTATAATTATATAAATGTATATATATATATATATATATATATATATATATATATATATGTGTGCATAGTGTAGCATTTATTAGCATGGAAAGTGGGATTGGTACATTGTGTGATGATGTGGCTTTTGTTCTAATGAACTTGCCTCCTTGGTATTTTAACTGCATTAATTTACACATACTACTAGATTGGTAAATAGGTTTCATTATTTTACTGCTGTAATAGCTTGATGTAACCGTAAGTTATATTCTAATAGTTTTTCCTCTCTTACTTCTCACCTGTGGAACTCTCTTCCAATTTCTTGCTTTTCTGCCACTTCAAAAACTTAAATGTAATGTCAGTTGGCATCTTCTGTCTTCCTGAATTCTGTTCTTTTATTGTACTTTCTCCTCACTAAAGTCTTCTTATTCTTTTTCACTCTCAGTAACCTCTTGTGTCTTAGTGGCATTATCACCTTGTTTAGGGTGAAATGATTTTCATAAAAATTAAGGGTATTAAACCAAAAATTAGAATAAAATGACTTTGATAGCTTATAAAACAAATTTAAAGATCTTACTAAGAATTTGTCACTGTTCTTATAAATTGAACCTTATGACCATATCACATTGAAACATTGGTTCTTATATGATCACTGAAGTTAAGCAACATTGAGCTTGGTCAGTATCTAGCTGGGTGACCACTTGCAAATGCAGGTGTTGTAAGTTTGGAATATGCGGGTGATGTAATGGATAACAGCTCAAAGTTGGAAACCTGTGAGCCGAGTTTCAGTTTGTTATATTCACTTATGTACAAATATCCTCAGGAAAGGTATGAATCCACCTCTTCTCCCTCCAGCTATGGGTTAATTAGTAGGACTTGTATCACTAAATCATTGTTATCTCTAAAAAATTTTATAATCTAAAAATATTTTCTGGCTTTAAATAACCTGCAAAAGGTTGATAAGCTGTAAAAAACAAATCAATCACTCAATCAAAAACCTTATGAACTAAAAATTGGTAAACCTTCACCAAAAATAAAAATGTTTATTTATTTATTAACACAGCTTTTTACATAGAACTTGAGAACTTTCACCAATGACATCCTTGTTTTCAATTAAAACATTTATTCAACTTTCAAATCAATTAAGACAGAAAACCAATCAAAAACTGTTTAATTGAAAATTTTGTGAATACTGGGATAAAGTGAAAGTCAATTGTTTTTGGCGTGATTTAATTTTAGATTCCACATGCACATACATACATACATACATACATATGAGAGAAAAATGAAAAAAATATTTGTACTTTAATTACAACAATCTTAAGAGTAGAAACACAAAAAATAAAACCAAAATGTGCACAAATGTCTCAGGTTTCAAAATCTAGTCTAGGGTTTCTTAACCTGGTCAATTTTTGCTGTTGGGTTGTCAATGAGCAACTGAACAGAAAATGGTGGCTGAATGTAAATTTTAGTGAACAATATAGGATTTTGAATATTGAAAAGATATTTCAACATATAATATCGTAAAAAAAATTTCACAAAGGAGATATACAAAGAACATGTATAAATATAAAGAAACAGGAAACTAATTGGGAATAACTGGGTTATATTCCTACAAACAATGAATATTTTGTTATTTTCTACAGTTTTGAGAAGGATTATTAACATTCAAATAGTTCTTTAGATGAAATAGCATTTTTAGGTGATATAAATTAGATAAGGGAAGAACAAGAACTGTAAAAATATTCACTGAGTTTCTAGTTGTGTCTATTCTTATTAATTTTATAATTATGAACAAAAATCATTTAATTTTTGTCAGCACTTGCAACGTTAACCCCAAACATAAAACTAAATTATATATATTGCTTTCAATGGTCAAGTTTACTTTCAATTGTTCTTTAATAAAGTAGCAGCAATATTATTTGTTACCTCCCTTTGGTATTTTTTTTTACTACATCATAAAGTCAGTTTATGAACCAGTAGCAAACTTTTACCAAAAAATTTTGGTATTCAGGTGGGCAGTGAAAAATTTCTCCATCTGAAAGTGAGTGGTAATGAAAAAAAGGTTGGGAATCCCTGATCTACCTATGCCTTAGTATAGTCTCTTTTCTTTTCAGTCATTGGACAAGTTTTTTTTTTTTAATACTATTGTTCACTCAATACAAAAAATAACTGAAATGTGTGAAATAGTCTGTTAATGGGTAAATAATGAAAACATTTTATTTTTCATATGTGTATGTATGTGTGTGTATATATTTATTTATATATATATATATATATATATATATTCATTTTTTCATCCTTGGAAGTGAGGTCTGATGAATCAGGGAAAACGAAACACCCTGGGGAAATAAATTATAACCATGGACCCATAGAGTTGTCTGTTTTCTTTAAATTAAATTATATATATATATATATATATATATATATATATATATATATATATATATGTATGTGTGTGTGTGTGTGTGTGAAAAATATATAGATAATAGGAAATAACTTGTTAGGTAAATAATCCAAAGTTCTTTAGTATTTTTGTTATTATTTTTAAAAAATAGTGCTCGATACAAAAGTATATATGTATGCATGTATGTTCTGTATCAAAAGCAACTAACCAACACCCCAAAAAATTTATTATTATGAGTCTAACACTAATGTGTTGAAGTGCATATAACAAACATTTAATGCCATTTTGTATTGCTACCAATTTCTGGTTCGCTTCTTTACATTGGAACACTTGTTTTGCAAAAAAAATTCCATTATTATAATGAATAAATTAAAAACTTTTAAATAATTATAATAGAGCATGTTCACACATGTTTTTTAAAAACTACCATCACAACGATATGCAGATTTTTATCCCAGTTACATAAGTTTTTTCTTTGTAATTTAGCTCTGGGGATGATCTCGAAGGAGAATGAAATTACTTGGATAGGAAAAAAATTATGGTACCTTCTTTGATGAATTAGATCTTAATATTGAGAAACTGATTAGAGAACTGGAAAGGATCATTAAAAAAAATAACTGTACATATGTCTATATTATTCAATGAAACACACACACACACATATATATATATATATAATTGTTTATTCAAAAATTATAACATAAACATGTTATAACACCACTGCAAAAATAGCTATTTTGTTTCAAAATTTCTGGTGTCTTCCCAAGCGATGGTGTTGAATGTAGAATAAAGAGTTTTAAAAGGTTCAAATCAACCAAACACCTCTCAATAAGGGAAATGCTGTTGCATAAACTACAATGACCAATCAAATCAATATATAAAATAAGATAAAGAACAAATGTTTATACATCTAACATGTTTAGCCTTTATTGAAGCTTTATCAGAGAATGAGATATTTAAAAAAAAGAAATTTTCTGTTATTTTTATCTTTGTGTTTTTGATTTCCATTGATTAAGCAAGCTTCACATATATTTGACTTGTCAGTGTTCAGGTGTATAATTTATGTATGTAAGTGTATCATAATTCTAGTTTATCTGTACAGGATTCAGATGATAGTGTGTGCGTCTAGTAGACATTATTTTTGTTTGGACGTTGTCTGCATGTTGATTTGGGGACATTTGGTAGTATTAATTATGGTAGATTCTTTAAGAATGTATTTAATAAAGGTTAGTGATATTATATATATGCAAAGCATTTATAAGGTAAGTCAGAAATATATCTAATCATTTTTAATATCTTAAAAACTCGTTGCACAGCCTTGATGCAATTTGGCAAGCAATCAAAGAAGACCTTATGAAGCATGTATGAATAAACTCTCTCCCATGATATTGTTATGTTGTCAGTGAGATGTTCTTGAATAAGTTTTTTTTTATTTTTGTATTGTATGAGTTTTGCTTTCTTTGCCAAACATCCTTTCACTCAGATCAACTTGTCTATATATATATATATAGAGAGAGAGAGAGAGATAAAACATCACACAGTGAAACCCAGTGTTGCACCAAATGGTGAGGAATAATATGTAAATTTACTATTAGTATATATATATATATATATATATTCTCACCAGTAGCACAATGAAATCATGAAGTGCTGATTGAAAACTGGACATGATATTTATATCATATTGTTGATATTGGAGTGGTCCAATTATTTGCAAGTGGGGGTATAATAAAATATAATAATAATAATATATATTTATTATCTGATAATTAATAGGTATAATTCCAAAGAGGATATAAATCCAAAGAGAGCTCAATGTAAGAACAGAGCAAATATATATATATATATATATATACAAGTATATAATTGGTGTATATGGAATGAATTCCAATAACCAACAATTACTATTCTTAAAATAGTGCTCAATACAAAGTAGAGCAGATATAATTATTTAAAAAAAAAAATAAAATTTATAACATAAATATGTTATAAAATCACTACAAAAATAGCCATTTTGTTTCAACACCCTTGGTGTCTTATCAAGTGATGATGTTAAAGATAAAATAAATAGTTTTAAAAGTTTAAAAAAAATTTTTTTTTTATAAAAAATAATATATATGTATGTATGTATGTATGTGTGTGTGTATTGAAAGTAATATTAATCTTGGGTATACAAAGTAATTGATTGATTAATTTTTGGTTCATTCTGAACTTTTTGCCTACCAACACTGTACTGTTAATGTCTTGTGAGATAAGGTGGGGAAAGAAGGAGGAAGGAAACAATTCAAATGTTTTCATTAATCAGTAAAACTTTTTCAGTTGCAAAGGTCTTGTTAAATTCTTTCACCTGAATGAATAACAAAACTTTCTTTTTGTTTTTAGATATCTTTATTTTTTTTCATCTATATAATTGCAGTTAAAGCAATCTCATTTCTGACTATGGATAACTAAATTCTCCAGCATAGTTTCTTATTTAATGTCATTTTTTTCCAGTGCTAAAATAATGGTCTGTGCAATAGCAGTGATGTCTTCAGTGAAAATAGAAAAATAACAATAACAACAAAATAAAAACCAAATAACTTCTGCTTTTTTTTTCAAACAAAAGAGAAAAGAATGATAATAAAAATGAAGAAAGCAGAAGGTCATAAACCAAAATGACTTGCACCACCATTATACTAAAATTCATGATAACTCTAATGCTAAACATAAAATAATAATGATGATGATGATGTTCAGACAAGCATTTTCCTCTGGGCAAGGGTGGTGGAGAAATGTCTTTCAATTGAAAGATTGTAAAGTAATGATGGGTAGAAGTGAGGTGTGGAAAAAAGGCATGAGGAACGAGAGATAAGATATGCATGTATCTTTCAGGTAAGGCAAACTAAAGTAACAAAAAATAAGGAATTTAAAAAAATCATATACATAAAATAAATTAAAAAAAACCCAAAAGACGCTTTATCTCCCAAGAAATATTTTGAAAAATGACTGATAATTCAGAGTGAGTATGCTGCGAAAGAAAATCAAGAAAAGGAAAAAGAAAAAGAAGAAATTGTCAATACAGACCAGTTATGGGCAGACTGCAACCCACAGTCCACGTGCAGCCCCATTTGGTCTTCTGAATGACACAGCAAATTTAATGAGGAAAATAATGTTTATTAAAATTTTGTGTTTTGTTTCATTCTCACTTGTTCACTCACATTTTCTCTCACACAAAGAGGCTAAAAGAAGCTGCTGTCAAAGGGAAATAACTATTAAATGCCTGAGTAACTTCCCTTACTAATTAATGTCTGTTGGATACAGTTTAACTCAACCACATACATAACAATGATTAAGTACAATATTTCTTGAATTTTGTTACCTTTCATTTTAAACCATTAGCAATTTTCATCATACGTACAAAAATATTTTGCTTTAGAAATGACAAAAATCCATACTAATTTTTTCTTTGCTTTTAAAAAGATATATATATATATATATATATATATATATATATATATATATATATATTGATATAGATAGATATATTGCTTTTAAAAAGTTACTTTTTGTATTTTCAAATGAATAATTTAAAAAAAAATCACATGCAGCAGCATGTTTTAATACTATACAAAATCTTCAATTTTTAAATTGTAGAAGAAATCTTTTTACTGAATAAAAAATATCAACTTTAGCCCATGTTTCTAAGGTAGATGCTTATTTGTATGATCTTCTGTAGTGAAAATGGTTACTTTACTTTCACCGAAAAATTATTTAAATTTTTTTTTTATTAGTGCAGCACACTTTATGATGAGCCATATCTCATGCAGCCCATTGCTCAGAAAAGGTTGCCCATGCCTGATATAGACAATAAGAGATGAAAGTAAAATGAAGAGAGATATTATCTGAAGAAAAATAAATGAAGTTGTAAGAAAATGAAAAAATATAAAAATGAAGAAAAGATTGAAAACAGGAGATGACAGAACAAAATGAAGAAAGAAGAAACAAAGAAAATGTAAAAGAAAAAAAGTGATTAAGGAATAAAAAGATACAAAAGACATGAGATCCATAAAAGAAAAGCAGATGAAAAAGAAAGAAGAAGAAGAGAGAGAGAGAGAAAGAAATAGAAGAAAGTGATAAATAAAAATCATCTGAAAAAATAAAAAGTAATAGAACTGATGGAGAGATGGAAAAGAAAAAAGAAATAGAGTTAAAAGAGAAGAAATAAAGAAAGAAGGTGAGAAGGAGGGAAGAAAAAAGGAAATAAAAAAGAAAGAGGAGATAAAAAAAGAAAGTTGAAATAAAAAGTAGAGATCAAAAAGAAAAAAATAACAGAAAAAAAAAAAAATGCAAAAATATATGAAGGGAAAATTGACAGAAGACATACAAAACTATGAATGAAGAAGAAAAAAAATAAAATTATTGAAAGAGAGATAAAAAGAATAAAAAAACATGAATGAAAAATGAAGAGAAAAAAGAAAGAAAAATGAAAAAAAGATTAAAAAAGTGTGAAAGAAAATGAAATAAAATGAATTGAAGAAAGAACAAATGAAGAAAAATATGAAGAAAAAATTAGAAAAGTGAAGAAGAAGAAAAAGGAAAGAGAAGGACAATATAAAAAAGGAAAGGAAATATAGAAAAACAAAAAGAAAAAGTTTTTAAAAAGATGAAAACACAAGAGATAGAGAAATGAGTAGAAAAAAATGAAGATAAAAAGAGGTAAAAAGAAAAGAAAAGGGAGAAAAAGTCAAGTAAGTTAGGAACCAAAAAAGAAAAATAAAGAAAATAAAGCAATAAAAAGAAGGGAGAAAAAGAAAGTAAAGAAGAAGAAAAAGGAAAGCCAGGGACAAAATAAAGGGGAAAAAAAACAAACAAGGATGTAAATGAAGAAAAGAAAAATGAAAAACGTAACTGAGGAAGAAGATGAAAAAATTAAACAAAGAAAGAAAGAAAATGAAAACAGAAAAGCAAATGAAGAAAAAGATGGTAAGGAAGAAGGTGAAGAAAAAGAAAGCAAGAAAAAATGAAGAAAATGAAAAGAGAAAAGAAAATATAGAAAAACAAAGTAAGGAAGAAAATGTAGAAAAGAAAGCAAGGATGAAGATGAAGAAAAAAGAAAGCGAGTATGAAAATGAAGAAAAAAGAAAGTGAGGATGAAGATGAAGAAAAAAGAAAGCGAGGATGAAGATGGAGAAAAAAGAAAGCGAGGATGAAGATGGAGAAAAAAGAAAGCGAGGATGAAGATGGAGAAAAAAGAAAGCAAGGATGAAGAAAGAAGAAAGGTAGAAAAAATGAAGAAATATTGAATACTATAAAACAGAAACTTTTTAAAACAATGTCAAATCCTTCAACCACAAAAGAATAATTATTGATCAATGAAATCAATTTGCTGATAACTTTTGTGAAAAGTATTTCCTGAATTTGCAGAAATAATAGGCTGCAGAATTTTCAGACATTTTGGAAGTTATTTTAGCATTAATTTGTCCGTTATTCAGACTAGATTATTTGTTCATTCATTCATGCAAGTGACTTCATCAGATAGGCATGTGTCAGTGAAACTTTTAACAATTATTTTACACAATTCCATAAAATGTCACATATTCAGAATAAACTGACAAATAACAAACTTCAAGAAGTTATTTACATTATTTACATTGTTTGCATTGTTGTCCTCATCTTTATTGCCATGTTCATGATGTTTCAGCCATTGTATGCGCCAACCTTCTTTGGGTGATTGGAATTTCAAACTGAACCCTCTATTTCATCCACTGGGGGTAGACTGTTCTTGTTCCACATGCCATGCCTCTTCCTGATGTCACTGTTATCTCATTTTAACTCAACTCTACAAGTTTTTGGTTCACCTCTGCAGTAGCCAGGTATCAAACTCTCAACTCTTTGGGTCAAGTCACTTGATCCAACCGATGATTTTATCCTTGAGGACATGACTATAAATTTTTGTGACTTATAAAAATGTCTCTGTTACATTTTTTTTTACCAGAGCTCATATTGCAGTTTTGTTATTATTGCTTTTCTCTAGCACTCCGTATAACTGGTTCCCATATTGTATTCATTTCTATGCTTGGCTGGCTGAGGAGATTTTTGTGACCTAGCATATGTGCTGATTCCTTAAGTTTTCATATTTTCCAGTGATGGAATACAATACCCCATCTCAGAAATATAGACAGATATTCAAGAAGTAAATGATGTCTATCTCCTAATCTGGGTATTTTTTATGTGCACAGTAATGTCAACTTGGGACTGGGATGAACTCTTAAGGGAGCAGTAAGTGTTCAAGATAGTTATTGGGAGAGTGCTATAATTTTAATTGGTGCTTCAGCTATGTATTTAGAGATTCTTAATAAAATCCAAAAAAGAATCTGTAATGTTATTGGTCCTGACCTGGCATCTCAGTTTCAGTCACTTTCCCACTGCTATAACGTAGCTTCCTTATGCCTTTTCTATAAAATATTTTCATGGTAATTTTACTGATGAACTTTCCTCTTTGGTACCTAGGCTTTATGAATTGAAATGCAGTACTAGATTGGCAGCTAGGTCTCATTTACAGTTGACATGGATAGATGTAAATATAATTTCTATGCTAAGAGTTTCTTCTCTCATACTTCTCACTTGTAAAACTCTTCTCTGGCTTCTTGCTTTTCAGTTAATGTTGATCTTCAAAAATTTAAATTCAATGCCAATCAATATCTTCTGTTTTCTTAATTCTTGTTGCTTTATTGTTCTCTCTCCTTAATAGTGTTTTATTTTTTCTTATATTCTTTCACACTCAGTAATCCCTTGCATCTTAGTGGCTTTATTGCCTTGCTTGGGATTAAATGATAAAAAAGCAAAAAAAATCAAGATAACATCATACAGTCAAAACCAACACAGAAGAAATGTCCTGCTCTCAGAAAACACTTTGAGTCACATTTCAATCCTGATCACACTAAAGATGCTTACAGAAATAGAACAAATACCGATACACAACCATTTTGCATCCTGTTTCCCTACAGGCATAATGTTTCAAGCTAATCTCTATTCTACCACTATTTCCATGTCAAATGTTCTGATGATTTCCATTCTGAAGTTCCACCACTTCAGACTTTTGTAACCAAGGCATGATATGTTACTTCCACAGAGTTGAATCACCCTTATTTCCTGTGTTCCAAATGTAAAAAGAAGTTCCACTCTGATAGCTTTTTTCTAAAGAACTGCTGCTTTGTGGAACAGACTCCTGTGTGAGTGCTTCCCTGAATACATTAATCTTAACTTCTTCAAGTTAAGGATCAATCATTATCTATCCTCCTTATCCTCATAATCTCCACATTTTACTACCACTTTCATTAATATTACATCATTACCATTTTAACAGTTAACCTCTACTTTGAGTGGCTCTTATATTAAATGATCTTTAGTATAAAAAAAATGAATAAAAACTTCTTTTGTCATGATTATCTTTAAAAAGGTCAGATTAAACCAAATATGGAGTATTGCTGTCATATCTGGAGAGAGGCTACCCAGTCCTCACTTTCCAGCCTTGATAGAGTTTAAAATTATGTGGTTTTGTCAGGGAAGACTTAACCTCCACTCTGCAGCCTCTTTCCCAGAGACACAATGGTGCAAGCCTATTGCTATTTCCATAGCAATTGTGCAGATAAGCTTATTTAATTCTGTCAGTTCAGACCTTTACTGTTCAAATGCACTATAATACTATCACAGAGTCAAATCACCCTCATTTCTCTCATATTCCAAATATAAGAGTAAAGTTCCACTAATGTCTTTCCTAAGAAACTATTATTTTGTGGAAGACTCCCAAGTGGATGCTTCCTTGAACACTAAAATTTTAACCTCTTCAAATCAAGAGTCAATCATTATCTAACCTTCTTATCCTCATAATCTTCACTTCCCACCACCATTTCCCAGCTATGCCATGCACACAGTGTCGACTCATCCACATTCACTTTGTATTTAGATGTAACCATAAGTTCTATACTAACAGTTTCTTTTCTCGCACTTCTTGCTTGTGGGACTCTCTCCCAGCTTCTTGATTCCCATTCAACTTTGATTTTCAAGAATTTAAATGCAATCTCAACTGTTATCTTCTGTCTTCTAAATCTCTCTTCTTAATAGTATATTTTCCTCATAATATTCTAACACTCAGTAACCCCTTGCATCTTAGTGGCTTTATTGCCTTGTCTGGGGTGAAATGATAAAAAAGAGCAAAAAACCATGTGATAACATCATACAATCAAAGCCAACACAGAAGAAATGCTCTGATATCAAAAAACATTTTGAGTCACATTTCGACCCTAACCACACTAAACTAAAAATGCTCACAGAAATAGAACATATACATCTAATCATTAAAAAATCTGCCTTCAAACAAACAATAATGAACCTAGTGATGAGGAAATTAAGAAAGCTATTAAAAATCTAGGAAAGAAAGTATCACTTGACATTGAAGCTGAACTTTTGAAAATAGTTTACTTTCTGACAGAATTCAGTATGAAGAAAGATTGGAATCAGAAATGCATCTCAAAAAAGTGTGGTTTATCACTCATTAATGCACTATGGCAACAAATAGATGGCCCTCAAGAACAACACACATAGAGGTATCTCAATTGGATCCATCCTGGTGAACATTAATGAACATTAATTAGATTCTCATCGTTTTATGAAAGTCAACTCTTCAAAAATCAGTTTCGTTTTTTGCTCTGGTAAAGGATATAATGATGGCATATATGTCATCAATCAACTCCAGGAAATTGCTTACCTCTCTAATAGAAAATTACATATTTGCTATGTTGACCTCACACCAGTGTATAACCACATCAATAGATAGTTACTCTTTTCATCCATTAGAAACTGCTTTCTAAGTTCTGAATCCACTGAATACATCAATCTAATAGAGGAACCTTATCAGTTCATAAAATTTTACATATCTGGCGTGGACCCTGATACAGAAACATTACAAACCTCATCAAAAGTATGACAATTAGGAAATGAGAGCCTTTGTCTATTTAATTTCTTACTAGACTATGCTCTGAACATATACAAGCATAGATATGTAGAGATAGGCACTGATATTTCATACTACATCCCAAATGAATCAACTAATAGAAGACAGCAATCTGGCTTTCCCTCCTGATGCCAGTATAATTATGATGAGTGGGGTGCAGGGGGGGGATATGCTGATAACATGGATATTTGTAGTTGGAATAAGAATGATCTTGAACAAAAAAAAATCAAGGTTCTCTTCCAACCGTTCCAAAAAATAAGACTCAAAATAAACCTTTTCAAAACAGGAACAATGGCCAGGAATTGGTATAAAAGCAATGATGACACCATGAATCCATCATAAAAATTAAAGATGTTTAATTACTAAACATTTCAAATACATTGGTGTATGGATCAGTTATAAATTTAGTTTAAGCGAAAAAGAAATTGAATATAGAATAGGCTATGCTAGAAGTAGTGATGTCCAACATTGTAAATTGCTACCAAAACCAAAACATTAATCTGGAAACTCAAGTCATGTTCTTAAATAGCCTTGTCAGACTCCTGTCTTAGCAGCAAGTCCGACAGATCCAACAAAGTAAAACAGGCAACTGCTCTCAAAAAAGACCTCTAATCAATGATTAACTGAGACAAGGAATGATTTGCAAATTATTAACCAAAACAAAATGGCTTTCAGTTAATCAACCATAGAGATTTCTACCTGTCATCAATAAGGCTGATGCTAACCTTCAGGAAAACAAAACTTTATGACTTCTTGAGCTCATGTTTTCTGTTGACATGTAGTAGAGTGATTAGATTGAATCAATTGTTAGGTCTACTGCTGGTTAACTGTATTGTGCTAGATAATTTTTCTCATCAGAATCCATAGGGCAAATTTCTAAATCTAGCATTCCGATAAGGAAATTGAACACAAGATAAATTACCGTAGGGATACATTTGTTGAACACCGTAAGATGCTACAATGCCAAAGTGAACCTCTGTAAGTCTGAAAGAAGATGATCCTTCATCAGACTCTGGGTTCATCTAATGTGACAAAAGGATAAACTTGATTGCTAAATCTATTATTTGTTGACTATATCACTATTGGAATGACTTGTAAATTTTAATGCCTTCAAAACAAAATGGCTTTCCTATACAAATAATAGATTTAGCAAACAAGTTTATCCTTTTGTCGCACTGAATGAACCTGGAGATGCAGCTTATGACCACATCACATTCAAATACTGGTTCTCGTATGATCACGGAAATTAAGCTTGGTCAGTATTTAGATGGGTGATCAGTTGGGAAAACTGGATGCTGTTAGCTTGGATATGTGGATGGTGTAACAGATAATGATTTGAAATTGAGAATTGGAAGCCGAGTTCCAATTTCTGTTGGGTTTGTTATATTCACTTATGTACAAATACCCATGGTCAAGATATGGATCCACCTCTTCCCCTCCAAGCTATGGGTTAATTAGTAGGACTTGTACCAGTAAATCATTATTATCCCCCCAAAATTGTTGCAATCTAAAAATATTCTCTGGCTTTAAATAACCTGCAAAAGGTTGATAAGCTGTGAAAAACAATTAATCAATCAATACTGGAGATGCACACACACACAAGTTGGTTGTTGAAATTTTTAAAAATGTTTTCTTAAAGTAGCTTTTTGGGAAATTAGACGTCTCTATTCCACTTTTGCTTTTTTTAGTTATTTTTGGAGTTTACTTCCTAACCTTTTGTTTAGTGTGGAAAGTAAATATCTTTATAATATCATTATTTTCCTTTCTCCAGGTTTATTCAGTGTGACAAAAAAATAAACCTGTTTGCTAAATCTATTATTTGTTGACCCTATCACCATTGTCTATACATTTTGCTTTATAAAGACAATGAATTCTGGCTGATATATATCAAAACTACTATAAAAAAAATCCGATATTTTTCTTATTTATTAATGACTTTTACCAGGCGTTCCACTAAGTAGGAGTTCAGATAAATGTTTCAAAAACAGATCTGCAATTTGAATGAGAGTAATGATTGTACTCTGAATTCATTATAAAAATGCAGAATCTGAAATTGATAAATTCTTAACACTTCAAATACCTTGGTGTATGGATCAGTTATAATAAATTTATTATAGGAAATGAGGAAATTGAACATAGAATAAACTGTGCTTGTGATAATTTTGTCCAAGACTACAAGATGTTAAGAAACCAAAATATTAAATTCTTGAGTCATGTTCCTAAATAACTTTGGCAGACTGAGACTCTAATATGAATGTCATGGATGACATCCAACCCCTTCAGAAATGTCTAAACTACCATCTGAATACAACCATTTTGTCAAAGATTAAAAATAGCTTCAAGAAAACTAATCCTTTAGATCCTAAAGAAAACAATCATTCTAATGATTGGCACTACAAAATCACAAAGACCTTTACCATATAATAAAATCCACATCACTTGAAGACATCCAACAGCAATAACTTAAATAAGCAACACTTGTAATGAGAAAGGAAAATAATGATTGATATAATCAAGATGTTGATCTTCCATATTACCTTATAGAAAAGGTTAAGAAAGAAACTCCCATCAAAACTAGAAAAAGTGAAAGTTAGTGGAAAAGATAATTCCAATTTCCTGAAAAACTGCTTTAAGAAAACAATTTTTAAAATTTCAACCAACAGTAATGCAAACATTTCAGTCAATGAATGCCAAATGTTTCTTGTATGGAAATGGCTAATTTCACCATTACCTTTTTCATATGTTATTACACTTTGCCATCATTTCTTTATTATTTTGTATATTCATATGTTTATGTGCCCAAAATGGCATATAATCCACATCACTTGAAAACTTCTAACAGCAACAACAAAAATAGGTAGCACCTGTAACTAAAAGAGAAAATTATCAAGATGTTCACTTTCCTTGCTACTTTAAACAAAAGGTTAGAAAGGAAACCCCCATTAAAACTAGAAAGAGCAATAACAGTGGACAGGAAATGTCTATTTTCCTAAAAAACTTTTCTAAGAGAAAGATTTTATGAATTTCAACTGACAGTAGTGCTGTTTGATCGAAGAATGCCAAATGTTTCTTGTATGGAAACAGCTATTCTCACCATGACCATTACAGCTCTTATCTTAGTCTGTTATGTGATCCATGCTTACCTTTTTTTATTTCTTAGAATTATACCTGTTCTTTCCATTAATATTTCTTTATTTCTGAGTCTGTTATTTTCTATATTTTACACATACAAGACATAGCTGACATGATACATTCATTAGGCACTTCACATTTTATACATATTCATAAGATGCTTTTTACTATATTTCAGATGTATGCCTGGATTTTTTCCAGTTCTTCATCCTTTATTATTTTTTTTTCATCTTTTGTGGAACTTTACAATTTGTTAATTTATGAGTTATTCAGATTAAAATTCTTACCTTTGTCAGTTTTCTCTCTATATTTCTACCTGGATATTCTTTGGTCTGCCTCAGATGTTTGAGAGAGTCACTATGATAGATCATACTAAATCTTATCATCACAGTGTCCAGCAGTGAGTACCAATTTTTAGTCTGCGGTGCCTTGTTCTACCAGATAAATTTTATACCTGAAAAAGAAATGAGAAACCTTAGCCAAAACAGGAAGATAAAATCGACAAAGATTAGAATAAGAGCTTTGGTGACACACATATCAGTGATTAACTAGAATTAGGGAAAATTAATGGGGTGAGGGTGACAATTTGGATATCATTCATTTCACATCTATTTAATCTATTGTGACATGTGACATTTCTATGTGAAATTTATTTTTCAGCAATTATTGGCTGAATATGGCTTTTATATGTATATGAAATTCACACCCTAATTAAAAAAGAACATAATATTTTACGTAGGAAATACTTTGAGGGAATCCTGATAAATACTTTACCATATATGAACACAGATCAAACACACTATATTACATCACAAACTTTTATAAAATCCATACTTAAAGAATCTAATATATGTTTATCTACTACTATTACTACTGGTGTTACACAAAAACATCCCCAAATCAACAAACATAAATAGAAATGCCTACTAGACACACACACACAAATCTATATAATCATCTGGATCCTGCATTGACAAACTAGAAATATGATACACTTACATAAATTATACACACAAATGTTGCTTGACAAGACAAATGCACTTCAAGTCAGCTGAACCAATGAAAAACAAATACAAAAATTAAAAATGCCAGAGTTTTGTATCTTCCATTCTTTTTCTCTATATCCCATTCTCTGATGAAGCTTTAATAAAAGTGAAACATGTTCGATTTATAAATTGATGATGTGAAGGAAGCTTGTTCACAGATTTTTTATTCAAAGCCAGCAGACTGGTATCTGGGACAGATTCAAATGCTGGCTAATTGTTAGCAGAAGATTGTTGAACATGATGGACTTCATTTTGAAGAATAAATGTTGGTGTTGCTCCAGAAAATTTCATTGTTTTCTTTCTATGAGTGAGGACTTTCTGGCCAACTTATATGTTTATTGATATTAATTAAAAATATTATTAATATCATTAAAATATTATTATTAATGTATATGCTTATTATTATTATGACATGTAAATATAAGATATACATGACAATTAATAAAAATAATGAATAAAACAGAAAAATATTGTTAGAAACAAAAGTATTTTTTAAATATAGAGGGTGTCCACAAAGTCATAAGAAATATAGAAAAATGTATTAAAATTACAATGGAAATCCTGTTGAAATGTTAACATGAGATAAATAGTAAAGTTTATATAAGTAAGTTATGTGCCATGCATGATACCACACTTAGGCGATCATGTATCTTTCAATACATGACTAATGAGGCAGATTTTTTTTGCAGTAGGTTGCCATTTCTTTCTGCAGTAGGCCAGCTGCAATCCAAGGCTATACAACCCAGTTTGTCCATAGCTGGGGGGAATAGAAGAGGATACATACCTTTCCCAAGGGTATTAGCATGTAAGGGAATGTAATGGATTTGACTGGAATTCAAACTCGTCTCTCCAATTCTTCAATCTAAGCCACTATCCATTACTTCACTGTGCCTCCTCAAAATAGTAAATTTATATTTGAGTCCCATTCATTGCACAAAGGACATATATTCATTTCTTTAGCTCTAGTAATTCTTTAAGTGTAGTCTGAAACAATAAAAATATAACATTAATAAAACTATTAATTCGTTTATTTTATATGCCATGTCCCTTCAGGATGTAGACGGTCATGGCTCTCCACAACATCCTGTCCCTTAATAAACTTTGTCTTTCTGTTATTTCTCCTAAGCCCTGTTCCACTATCAATTTACTCAAGCTCATTGAATATGTTATTTGTTGTCTTCCTTTGTTCCTCTTGCCCTCTCTCTGTCCCTTGTGTATCAGATTTTCCAAGCCTTCCTTCCTCATTATGTGCCCTAGAGGCCTCAACTATCTCTTTCTGATGTTAACTATTAGTTTCCTTTTTGTTTCAATTTTCTCTAAAACTTTGTCGTTAATCACATGTTCAATCCAAGGTATCCTCCACATCCTTCAGTAGAACCACATTGCTTCAAGTGTCCTCTTCATTTTTGAGCAGATCGTCCAGCACTCACTGCCATACAGGAGGACAGATGATCACATAACAGTTTAGTACTCTTTTCTTTATTTCTAGCAAAAATTTTCCTATTTCTTAGTACTCTGCTTAGCTTTTTGGAATGCTTCCTTGGCTATCCCAGTAAGCCTTCAGATCTCAGTGTCGCTCTTTCCATCCTCTGTTAAAACACTTCCCTGATATTTAAATTTCTGCACTTGTTTGATTTTGCTATCTCTTATTTACAATTTGCACTTTGGGCTCATCCTGTTGCTAACAACCATGCATTTTGTATTCTTGCAGTTGATGTTTAATCCTTTCTTCTCGCTTTCGTTCCCTACCTTCTGCAGAAGTTATTGTAACTTTCTGTGTCTACTATCAGCCCTGTATCATCTCCATACCTTATGTTAAGGTTGTGGCTACCAATACTGAATCCTGGTAGGACTTCTAGTTCTCTCAGAGTCACATGCAACAAAAATTTAGTTCTTCTAATTTTTTCATAATGACTTTTTGAAAATTTTGTGGACCCCCTGTATAATCAAAACAATGATAGATTTTAAACTTTAAAGCAATAATAGTCTTTTTAAAATGTTATAAAAATTAAAACAAAATATTAAATTTAGCTTTACTTTCAGTCGCATTATTTTATTTTTATAAAATGAAGTGTTTCGGTCATTATTATTAAATAATGATTGATAATGTGTCAATATTCACAAATCACTTGTCCTTTCAACTTCTTGCCATAGATTGACAGCCTGAATATATAAATAAATGCCAGTTAAAAATCAATAATAATTACCCTTCTTTATATTAAATCTGTTTTATCCATCAATATTTTTTTTAAACCAAAAAGAAATACTAGTGACTAATTCAGGTAATTTCAAACATAAAAAACCTCCTTGGAAGTTAATTTCATCATATATCCAAAAAAGCAGCATAATGGTTTTGCAGATAAGTCATTTTCCTGCCACTCTTCAGGTTGGGGATCTGTAAAGATAGTTTATGTAAACTAAGCAAAAAATCAAGAGAAAGGAAAATATTGTTAGAAACAAAAAATCAGATGGTAATACCTAATCTCCTATATGGTAATAAGTACTAAACAATTTCCTCACAGATGAAGAAAAGACTTGCAGTGACAGATTGATTTGTTTTTTTATGGCCTATCAACCCTTTGCAGGTTATTTAAAGACAGAAAATATTTTTAGATTGTAAGATTTTTTGAAGATGATAATGCTTTAGTGATACAAGAGACAGCTGAAACTTCTAGGGCACATAATGAGAAAAGGGGGATTGAAAAATTTGATAATCACAGGACATATTGAAGGCAAGGTTGACAGATGAAAACAGCACATGACCCATCTAATAAGTAAATGATAGGCAAAAAAGGGATCAAGAGAGATTATAAAAAAGACAAAAGTTACTAAGAACTACAAAGGAAATTGTGGAGAACAACATCCTGAAGGGACATGACACATAGAAGAAGGAGAATTTAATTTGAAAATTATGGTGTTTTTACTTGATAGTGACATGTTGCAGTTATGTAAATGGATCAATGTTAAATAGTTGTTTTTTCCTGTTTAATCCACTTTACTAGATTTTTTTTTAATATATATTAAGCCTTGCTTTGCTATGATGGCTTCTTGTGACCAATTGGTTAAGCAAACTTATCTTAAAAGTGGTTCCCTTATTGGAAAAGAGAATACAAGTTTGATTCCAGTTTATTGGAAGGTACATTTTCTTTTGTAAGTTGCTTGGTTGTTTTTGTTTAGCAGTATATCAAAACCTCTATGGCTTATTTAATGCCAAAATTTAAATATTTTGTACACAATTTTATTTATTTTGGGATAATAATGGTTTTAGTGATCCAAGTCTTATTAATTGTACTCATAGCTGAAGAGAGAAGAAATGGCTTCAGACCTTTCCCAAGGTATTTGCATATAATTGAATATAACGAATTCAACAGGAATTGGAACTCCAGTAACTTTAGTCTTTCACAGACATAACAGAGAGAGAGAGAGAGAGAGAGAGAGGAGTCCTGTGGATAATGAAACACAATGTGGTGGGCAGGATTGGTGCAAAATGGGCTTACCTGAGACGGACCAAAGTAAGCACATAGCAACAGGGCAACATAACAAACCCAACTTGAATTGGAACTTTGCTCCCTGATTAAAAATTCTGAGACATTATCCATTACATCACCTGCACATCCAAGCTCATAGCACCTGGTATTCTCAAACAATCGTCTATCTAGGTACTGACCAGACTTGATATTATTTAACTTCAGTGATCATACGACAACTGGTGTTTCAATGTGATGTGGCTGTAAGCCTTTGAAGTGACAGAGATGTGTTTCTACTGAAAATTGCTAAGAATGCCCATCCTTTCAAATTCTTTGCAACCAATTTCTTTATTTGCTAGACTGCACACTAATTAAACATTTTGTGTAAAACATTTTAGTCATCTGCATTAATAAGCATTTTATATTTGACTTTTAAGGAAAAAACTCTCCTTCCTACTAAGGAAATTTATTGAAATATATTTACTACTTCATGGATTTTGTGGATATGCTGTTAGTATAATGATTATTAGCAGAGAAAGAGAAATTACTAAGCAGAGAGAAAATTCCAGTGTAGGTTGTTACATTCACTTTCGCACAAATGTGAAAAGCATGAATCCATTTCTTTATCCCACAGCTTCAGGTATTAAATAATAGTTTAGAAGTCTATTATTTTTTAGAGGAAGTGTATCTCTGCTCAAACTTCCTGAGGTCAGGTGCAAGACAAAATAAGGAAGTCAATTTTGATTGGCTGAGCCAGCATGTGAAAGAAAATAGAGAGAAAAAAGATTTTTTAAGTCTTAACCATCAAACAATGTTTGTAGGGATATTATTATTATTATTATAAATAAAAATAAAATA